GGCATATTTATATAATCCACAATGAAAGTACAATCTGTCAGCTTTCTTGTTCAGTAATTTATTAAAGCTGCTTCCTAAAGATTTTTAAAAATTATCTAAAACAGAAACCTAGCAAAAAGAGTTGACATAAAATTATAAAGCAGTTATGTTTTAAGTTCATCTGACAGCTCATCATGCTCTTACTGAATCAGCCATTACCTACATTTAATGTTTCTTTTTCCTTAAAAATATTATATTCAGAGAATTGTCTTTATCCTCTATTCTGATCTGCTGAACAGGTTATTTAAAGCAGGCCATGCAAGCCATAGCCATGCTTTCCATGTACATATATAATTCACACAATAAGCAATATGTTTGTATAGCTTAAGGTTATTAAGACCATCAGGATTTTCATGGTATGTCAAGGGTTACAATAGCACACCTGACACCCTCCCACCGCGATATAAGGGATGCATTTGCCAAGGCAAAGCCAGCGATTCCCATGCTAGACAGAACTAGTATGCCAAAACTGAGCAGTGCTTTTCAATCAGGCCACAAAGACAACGTACTCATTTTCTTCGACACAGAAAAGCATGGAAAAAAGACCTAGAATTTAAACTTAAAATTCTAACATATATAGTAGGTATTGATTTTTATGTGTTCTAGGTGGCGCATATCTGGGCATTTTGTTTTATTCTTGTCTGTAATAAAACTACTAGCCTAGCTTGTTACTCGTATGAGTCTCCATTAAAAAACAGTACCTGAATATGGGTTAAGTGTCTGGAAAGTCGAGATTTATTGCCACTTTTGGCATGAACATACAAGGCTTAAGGCTCTCAGTTTGATCCTTAATCTCCCAAATAACAAACAAAAGGAAAACTTTCGCCACCAATTGATCAGTTGAAGGTGCTTTAAAGCCTTAATTGAGATGCTGGCAAACCCCATGCTGAAATGAACTTTGAAATTTTGTTGTTGTTGTTGTCATAATCATATTTCTCCAGAATTTTAAAATGGAAATAGTAATAGAAAGGGATATATGAAAATGACTCTGCGTAGAGTTACTTTTATACAACTGCTACATAAATATTTGAACTATATATTTGAAAATCTATGGCCTCAAGAATTTTAAAAATCCACTCCTTGATTTCCAGGAGTGATACTATAGTACAGTGGTAGCTAACATTTTTCGGCTACCGTGCCGATAATTGCGCGTGCGTTCGCTTGCCAGCACCCAGAAGGCAATGCGTGCTGGGGTCCCCATGCCTCCTATGCATGCGTGTATGATTTCCCCTTGTGTGCCGAGCATCTGCGCATGGGCATGCAATTCCCCCTCGCACGCTGCGCATCTGTGCATGCGTGCGCAATTCCCCCCTTGCACACAGCACGTCTGCACATATGTGTGCAATCTCCTCGCATGCAGCACATCCCTGCTCATGCGTGCGTGTCTCCCGTGCACCCCCTTCTGCCCCTGCGCATGCGCACCAGAAACCCGACAATCAGCTGTTGGGTGGTGGTGCGCGCATGCGCAGTGGGGCTCTTCCGGGCGATGTCTTGCATGCTAGGGAAAATGGCTCTGTGTGCCACTTCCAGCATGCATGTCGTAGCTTTGCCAACACAAAGTAGAAAGCTTCAATCAGAATAGAACAGACCAATTTTGGATGTATTGGTACCTATGGCCTCTTCAGATTTAAGTTTCAATTTGTTAATGGAAATCTAAAATATAAATTAAAACTAGTTGAGCATATTTTGACACCACAAATAATTTTCCAGAAGTTCTAGCCAGTGCACTATAGCAACTGTTGATAACAATTGATCAGGCATTTAATGAGAAATCTTAACACCATCTTCATCTACATTATGGGTACACCATAAACAAATCTTTCTATTAACATCCTGCACCATGTCTATAAAAATGTTTATGTCTATGAATGTCTATAGCAGAGTCTATAAGATGCAACTGTAAGGTTTAAAGGGGCGTTGGTACTTACCTGGCACGCCAGGTTCTCTTTGAGCTGTGAAGAGCATCCAGTAGTGGAAGGTGCTTCAGTCTCTGCATGTCTAGGCTGGGCTTAATTTGTGGAACGAAAGGGCCCTTAGTGAGTGTGACGAGGACCTTGTTAAGGTCCCAGGTGGGATAACAGTGTACCGCTGGAGGGCATAAATTTGTGGCTCCTCGAAGGAAACTGTATGTGTGGATGATGGGAAAGAGATAGTAGACCTTCACAAGTGAGAACTGATGCCAAGGCCACCACCTGTCTTTTCAACGTATTAGGTGATAATCCCTTGTCAAGTCCCTCTTGCAAGAACTCTAGGATTTGAGCCATAGATGGAGAGATAGAATCAATTCGAGACTTGGTACACCATTTGCAGAAACTGGACCATGTGGCATTGTAAATGTGAGTTATTGAGGGGTGTCTGGAGGCTTGGATGGTTAAAAGGAAAGGCGGGGAAAGGAGTGGAAAGAATTCTTATTGCTTTCCACACCAAGACGGCGTTCTGAGGGGAAAAACCAAATGGTACAACTCAGATGAGAGCGAAAATGCCCACGCCGCTATTGCCGATATAGAGAAAGGCAATGAGGAATCACAATGGCAGGGGGTAGAACAAGCAGATGGGGGGGGGGGGCTCGGGGCAATGCAATGCCCACTGCTTCGAGCGTGAAACAGCGCTACCCAAAAATGCAAATGATCTCCAACGACCAGATGGAGAGAGCTAACGTCGGGAGATCATAATGTGATTTGGAGGCTAAAAGCCTGAAAAAATGAACTGGACTATATCTAAATCTGCTGAGTAATACTCCTGTTTCAGCCAAGGAAGAACAAAAAGCACTGCCTATCCACAACGAGGCTGAGCCAAAACTGGGGAATGCTGGGGAGGAGTCCCGTGGAGGAGGAGGAGCGTTCCACAAATTAAGCCCAGCCTAGATATGCAGAGACTGAAGCACCTCCCACTACTGGATGCTCTGAACAGCTCATGGGAGAATCTCTCTATCCTGAATCCACTTTGTATGGATTCATGCTAAGTAACACCCTTGCAAGTAACAGCCTTAGCACTGTTACTTCAGAAACAGTTTTGAGTCTGCTTCTTTAAAAAAGAGTATTATGAACATCCTTGACATTTTAGAAATAATTTATTGATTTTTGCTCAACACTGCCATAAATTAAATGATGTAATGGATAGCACTGTTATACTACTAGAAAAACATGCCTTTCAGATTCTTAACCGCATACTGAAAAAGAGTATCAGCTGGATTAATGTTAAAAATAGTCCAGTTTGATGCTAATTTATACACAGGAGCAAAATGAGGTAGTGCTGAAATAGCTTCCAGAATCATTAGGGATAAAAGCCTACAATAAGATGCTTACCAAAGGATTACCAAAAACGATTTTTTAAATACGCCAAAAATGAAAACCTGAAACTTTTTACATGAAAAAGTATTTGCCCTCCTACAAGATCATTCATTGTCCTTGTCCAATATTTGTTTCTGAACATGCTACCTTTCATTAACCTATCAACTATATAAAATGTATCAAGATTGGCTATGCTATTAAGCAATTATGAAACTGGTAGTCAACCCATCTGGTGGATACTAGATTTGAAAAGTCTGGTTTGCAGTTTATATCTTCATGTGAATATATACATGCCTTTCTGTGTATCAAACATAACCATTATAACCAAAAACTTCCCTCTAGTCAAAGATGAATTATTGGGTACTTGGGTACCGAGTTATCCTTTGGGATGTTTGCAGAAATACTGAAATATTTAGGCCACTGTTTTCAGAGTGAAAAATAAAAACTGAAAAGAGCAGATAATTCTATTGGCAGCCATTCCTCAAGAGGCTCCTGGTCGAAAGGCTTAATATTTAGACTTAGTTCTAGATCCGTGATGGTGAACTTATGGCACACATGCTAGAAGGGCACACAGAGCCATCTCTGCCAGCACGCAAGCTGTCACCCCGGATCAGGTCCACTGTGCCAGCCAGCTGATTGTGAGGTATCTGCCGCACATGTGTGGGGGCAGGGGCACACAGAAACGTGTGGGCATGCACAAAGGCACATGGCACAGGAGGTTGCACGCACATGCACAGAGGTACGCGTTGCACACAGGGGATCACGTGTGCATTGCCGGGAGGTGGGGTCGCACATGCATTGCATTATGGATGCGGGCACGCGTGTACACACACACACACTTTTGGCACACGATAATTAAAAGGTTAGCCATCACTGTTCTAGATTAAGAACTTTGACTACCAAACCCACTAGGGTTTTCTGTGGCTTACTCAAGTACTGGGGTCTTGAAAACAGTGAACAGAACATCCTAGAAATATTTTTGACAGAATTATCTGATAGTAATTTAATATCTCATTTGTTCAATGCAGAATACAAAATACTTTCAGCCAAAGTAATTGGGTGTATGCCAAGTGAATCCCACATTATCAGTATCACTGAATCACCTTGAACTGTCTTGTGCTCCAGCCTAACTGCATCTGGCATATAAAATGTGGAAATAAATAAATGAGGGATGTGCACAGCTTTGGATCTGAAGCCCCAAAAATGCTTTGTAGGGGAAGTAGGGGGTATGTGCCATACCTTCTGGCATTTTTCTTCAGAAGTGGTAACTTTTTCTAGACTTGCACAATACTGCACAATCTCAGGAAAGTGTTCGTTTTGCACTAAGGAACTGCTGACAGCATGCCCATGCCCATGCCAAAGCATCCTGTTAGCATTTCCTTAATTCAAACTTTATTTTCATGGGATCCTGCGCTAGGAAAAGATGCAGCCTCCTAAGCATTTGGAGACATTTGGAAATTAATGATTATCACTCTTTTCTCCAAATGGCCTGTCAAAATTAGGTTAAGTCTTTCTCAGATTACATATAAGGTTTAGTAACAGTTTGTTTTGAATGATTCTTATATTGACTACATTATTAATTATTTATTATTTGGACTAGTAACAATATATTTTTCTCTAAAATTCATTCTTCAAATAAATAATTCTATACAAGTGATAGAAATAGGTAACCTGTTGCGTAATCATATCCCATGGTCCTTGCCAGAGGCGATCCCTATAGCATTCATGTACACTTTTCCATATTTCATCTAATGTTAAAGGTTTTCCATCTGTAAAAAGAAATCCACATAATTTATTGTGAAGTTACTTATAAAATCTGTATATAATTTTTATCTTTAAAATGTACATGGTTGAAAACAAACAAACAAAATTAACAAGGATGATAACATTAATTCTTCTTAATCTAAAAGAACCACAACAATAATGTCATGATGTTTGTTTGTCTATAGACAAATAAATTAGAATATCCAATCTTATTAATCATTGTTTGGTAACTGATGTAACTCTAAATGGTACGATAACTGCCCTCAACAAGATCCTCTGTGCAATATTGATTATGCCCTCACTCTTAGATCAGCTTTGTTTAATAAAATAAAGTTCCTGTATTGAAACAAATGTATGATTTGTTTTTGACAAATGAAATAGTTTGATTTTTTTTCCAATAACTGTCATTATCATGGCATTTATCAGGTGTCAGAAGGACATTATACTGTGATAAATAGTCTTACTCCATTGACATTTTCATCTTCATGAAATAAACAAGATTTATTCTTCCAATTAACATTTGAATGTCATATTTAGATAGAACTCGAAATCATGTTGCTATCAGATTCTGTTTTTTTTAACATACTGAAAATGGAGGACAACATTCTGTATACTATTTAGCAGCACTAATGTCAAGTGCAAAAGCAATATAAGGGAAGCAATGAGAATATTGGAAACTAACCTCTGTATAGGAAAATTGGAATATGCCACAAATAGAAAATAAGCTCAAAAGACTGGAGGATTAGCTATCAAGTTAGTAATACAAAGAAAACAACCAAAACAAGATTTTGGTAATGCTCTCTATGTGACTTTTAATTACTACTGTTCAGAAATCTGGTCCTCCAAGTTCCCCAAAACTATCTTCTATCTGGAATGTTTCTATTTTCCTTTTTCATTCTTTCTTTTTTAACAAATTTTATTCAGTTTTTCACATTAAAAACAAAAATCTCTTTTTAGTGGACAACATATTTCCGGGTCATCACCTTTACATACAATATGACAGCAATTATACATTCATATATGCATACTTAATTCTATTATTACCTTTTCTATTCCAAATTTTCAGTAAGGAGAGAAACAAATAAATTAATTCTAGCCTCTTTCATTAATCTCAATCAAAACATCTTTTTGTTTCATTTCAATTATTTCAAATATAATCCTTTAATATTTATTTTAAAAATAAAGATAAACAATATGTGTTTGCCTAATAATAATAATAATGATAATAATAAAAAGTTACCAATGTCTCTCCTTGCTTTTAATAGTCTATATTAACTTATTAATTTAGTTGGTTCTTTAGTCTGTCATATTCCCTTTCCATTACACATTCTTTTTATAAATTCTAGATTAATACAAATTTTAACACTAAAAAAAAAAAGTATAGGTTTCCCCCCTTTTACCGTTTTGAGTGTGACACCTCAATGATTAAAATATACCTTTATTCCCTCATTTTGATTCCCAATAAACCATTATTTTTAAGAAGTTACAATAATAATAATTACATCTTTTCATTTGGATTCCGCAGCATATTTTCCCCGCTTGATTTTTAATAAGAGTTATCAGTATCTATAATACCCTATTTTCTAAATATTTTTAATTGCAGAAATATTATTACCCCTTGTGACCCTGCAGAATCCCCCTTTTAATTCATCAACCATTATCTCTGAAAAAACAATTTTTCAACATTTTACTATTTCCGTATTTCTTTATTTCATCTACCTGTTTCTTACTGTTTCTCTTTCCTCTCTTTTTCCCATATCTTTTCTCATTCCAGTTTATATCCCTCTCTTTCTTAATATCTTCCTTTGCCCTTTTCTGCTGGGTCTTTCTGCCTTTCCTGACTTCACAGGTATTCTCCCTTTTGATTGCTTTCTTAAATTTCAACTTTTTAACCTTCCTTCTTTCCCCACTTCTTTGTAGTGTTCTGGAAATGGAAATGAAGAAGAAGAAGAAAGAGCTTCAAAGGAGGAGGAGGAGTCGATTCAAGGAGAAGACATTTTAAATAGACATTTTCCTTTTTCATTCTTGAGGTGCTTATGTATTTCCTTTCAATTTGTTTTAGAATTTACTTAATAATTCTGAGCTGATCAAGAGTTCTTCTATGGATATTTTTTCAGTTTGCAATCTTTCTTGCTACTCACATTTCCTGTTTTGAAAAAGGCCCATTGTAGGAGTTTCCTCAAGATGTCTCCTTTGGGATTTAATTGAATCATAGGAAACTAAGGCAGTTGAAGACTGCTGGAAAGATGTTTATATGTTGAAAGAAAGATTGTCAACATATTCTCTTTGGCCACTTCATAAAATAAAGTAAATACAAGAATTTCATGAGAATTTTTCTGCAACTTTCTTTTTTGTAAGAAATATAGAAAGCAATTTATTTTTTATCAAATTAAAGGCAAATGCAGAAGAATTTTTGTAGCACTAGTTTTAACAGGAAATGTTAAACATAAAAAGAGATCTGATTCCTCTTGCGAAACTTCCATTTTACATCTGTCATGACTGGCTTCCTTCCAGACATTAAGTAAAAAAAAATTGCTTAGATAAATATGAGTATCTGTTATTGATATGGTAATGCACAATTTCAATTTCATGTTTTAATTGCTATTCTGTTTCAAGTATTCTTTGTCTGATTGAATTGGCCCTATTCTAGAATGGAGTCTTTTATAAATATAGAAAAGCAGCTATACAAATTGGCATTATTGCATTTATTGCTGATATGTTTGTATGTTTGGATAAAGGCCCAATTCCATGTCTTCAAAAGGCTAAAAGCTTGCAAAGTCTGTCCATCTGATCCTGAAACTCTTCAATGAAACAGAAGAAAGACAGAACCTATTTTCAAAGTTGCTACCTGTTTTAATCAAGCTGCTGCAATAGCATTACTATGACACAAATAAATGGGAAAAGAGCACTTTTATAATATAGATATAATTTTTACTTCCAACTTTTAATTAAATAATAGTTTTAAATTATTTCTAATTAGTTGGGATTTTTATTTGGAAAGAGCAAATTTGGAATCATGTGGTAGAGAATCTTTAGGTTTATATTTAACATTTCAAGAACTGTTAGATGTGGTTAAACAATAATGTTCTTATTGATTTTAATATCTTTCAAAGCAGGAAAATGTTTCAGCCACAAGTTTATGACCTTTTAATGATAAAACTGTTGCCACAGAACTCACTTCTACATAGAAAATTAAGACAAAAATATTTCATTTTCTTACAAGGACATGTGTTCATCAGTTCTGATAACTATTCATTTCCATGGCAAAAAAAGAGACACCTCTCATATGAAACTGTCCTAAAAAAACCCACTTACATGTGTTATACAAAACATAGAATGATCTCTGAAATCCAGGTCTGGTGTCATAGTTATAATTTACTTTACTATAAAGTACACAAAATGCTGCCAGAATCCCACAGATAGGTAGATAATGCAATATGAATTATACACCAGGAATAATATTTTATTGAAAAAAAACCAATTAGTAATATAAAAATAATTTCTTCCTATATTTTTAACAGACAAGATGCTAGGTAGTCCTCGACTTACGATCACAATTGAGCCCAAAACTTATGTTGCTAAGCCAAACCGTTGTTAAGTGATTTTCCCCCATTTTACAACCTTTCTTGCCCTAGTTGTTGAGTGAATCATCGCAGCTGTTAAGTTAGTGACAAGATTGTTAAGTGAATCTGGCTTCCCCATTGACTTTGATGGTTAGAAGATTGCAAAAGGTTATCACATGAGCCCAGGACATTGCAATCATCATAAATATGAATCAGTTGCCAAACACTTGAGTTTTGATCATGTGACCATGGGAATGTTGAAAGATTAAGTGTGAAAAATTGTCATAAGCAGAGGTGGGATTCAAACGGTATTACTACCGGTTTGGTGACTACATTTTGCGCACATGTAAAAAACTTTAAGCTATGCTGCCTGGACAGCTAAAAAGCATTGCGCGTGGGAGCGCAGCATTTGAAAAGCCACTTTTTTCCTGCTTTTTCAACCTCAGCTGTGCCACGCAAAGCAGCTGAGGTTGAAAAAGCAGGAAATAAAGGACAGGTAAGAGCCCGGGTAGGCGGGTGGGCCAAACACAAGCAAACACAGAACTGGTTTGGTGTCTGCTGCTCTTCAGAGCTACCGGTTCTACAGAGCCAGGCAGACCCATTCCACCCCTGGTTATAAGTCACTTTTTTTGGTGCCAATGTAACTTTGAATGGTCACTAAATGAACTGTTGTAAATTGAGGACTACCTATACTAAAGATAAAGAAATTAAGACTTCAATTTTTTTGAAAATGAAAGAAAATTTTTAATATTCACATTAGAGAAACTTTATATTGGATGAATATTCCCAATGCAAGATATATACCAATCACAGTGTTAATATATCACAATCTAACTTAATATCAGTGACCAAATGAGATAAATATATATTTCTTTGCAGGATTCTAAATAATCACAAAGAAAACATTAACATTAAAAAGAAATGTGGTATTAAATGTTTTTTTTATTAGCACTATATAAGCTTTATTTTCTACCTATACATTCCATACTGATAAAATAAGTTTAAGATTATATCAATAAATCCAACTAAATAAGTTATTTTCTAATTATTGCTAACAAACTCAACCAAGTAATGAGTTAGTCTTCAAACTAACTCTGCCCCTTGAAGACATTAGCCATTTTTTAAAAGTTGGAATGATTCTATTATGTTAGATTTATCTTTGTCTTTCTCTCAAACACATTGTATGAATTACAACTCTGTAACATCAGAAGGGTATTTAAACAAAACTATATGGGGAAATGGTCCATTTTAGTTCTGGATTGGTCCTACTTTTTAGTGAAGAAAAGTAAGATAGAAGGAAGTCAGATTTAATTGTGAAAATCCTTCAAAAGCTATTGTTTTCTACTGTTGAACAATTCCCAACAAACACGTTATGGCACATAATTATACTTTCAGGAACAATTAAAATTCTGTACTGCAAGGGGAGCTGTTGGCATGCAATA